TCAAAGCAGTACTGATCAGAACGCAAAAGAAGATGCTTTATTTTTGTCCCTAACGGCATGGTACCATCACAAAATTCAGCTAAATCAAGGAGCCTTTTTGCTTTCCTAACTTCCTCCCTGCAGATGTGGGTGTTGTTGTTCGCTGCCTGAGAGCAGGACTCTAAGAACAGAGCTGCCATTTTGACGGTAATGTATTCTCTTTCTCGATTATCTAAATAGTACCTACAAGCCAGTTCATAAGATTGATACACTTCAGCTTTTCGGGTTTCCCGAGTTATATTCGATGTAGGTAAAGAGTTTAGCAGTGCACCATAACTCTGGTACAGTTCTGCTTTATCTTCGTGAGAATCCTGAAGTTCAAGAACTTTTTGTGCTTTTTCCTTGCATCTCATAGCTATTCCAAATTTGCCCTGGTCCCTGTACACCGGTGTCAAAAGATTTAAGGCTCGTCCAATAAGAATCCCCGGGTTTTTCAACTGCGGCTCCAGTTTAAGTACATGTTTTAGTATTCTTTTGGCACCTGTTACATTGTTTTGGAAAAAGAAGGCCATTGCGCGACTAATCTGTAAACTTGCTTCCATGTCAACATCTACGGGTTCTTCGGGCGACTTTCTTGCCAAATTTTCTCTAATCTTTTGCTCATGTACCACAAAGTTCCCTTCTCTTCGTAGATTGAGTAGTTCTGTCATAAGTTCAATATAAACGGAAGTGTTCATACATCCGCGCTTTGGAATGACTGGCATTGGCGAAAGGACAAAGCTAAGCTTGCCTAATATTGGGGTCGTCCGACTGTCTTCTATCTCCTGAATTTTTGTGACTGGGTCATTTTCTTCATCAGAGGAAGTGGGACAAGTCTTGCTACAACATTTACAAGTCGGTACTTGACACAGTGTGCTGTTAGAACCAATCTGGAGTATGGGAAAACCTGAAACCTTTATACTCATCTCTTTATCTTGATCTGTTGCTTTTTCTGTAGTATTCCTGTGATGGGATTCATAATTTCCGTAGATGATTTCTCCTTCTAAGTGGAGGTTCATGTTTTCGTCGCTAGAAAGAGTACAAACTGGCTCTCGAGTAAGCTCTCCAACTATTAAATTCTCAGAAAAATCCTCCTTTAATTCTCTGGGAAAAACTTCGCAAAAAAGACTTTCCTGGGTAGCCATTGATTAGGCAATTGAAAGAAAGGTTATGGCGCCACGTTTCTCAATAATGTGAGCTCTACTTTCCGATAATCGTGAGCCAAAATACAGGAATTTTTGAAGACAATTTGCATTCACCTGAAAATGAAATAAAAAGACAAAAACTGGTTTTAAACAATGTGCTCTGGTAATCAGAAAACCCTCTTGGCAAAGTGATCTCAGTCGCACCTAACAGGACAAGCAAAACTGAGCATTATAGTTCGATCGAGGTTCCATGTTATATCAAAGTCAAGAAATCATAACAACCACCACACTGAGGAAAGGAAAAATATCTCAACTAGAATCTATAGGCGTACTTAGGCACCCTGACTACCCAGAAACGCGTTCGATTAGACGAAAGTAGCGCGTGTTTTCTAATCCAATCACAGAGCGAAGTAGAGCAAAACGGTCCAATCCAAATCACTTTCGACTCTAAAATTTCAGACAGATATAAGGTTCGAAGCAACTGCGTTTCTGACTATTTTTTATCATGATCCCTAACGAGAAAGGGGAAAGATTAAACCTTTGGAACTTGGTTGGATGTAGGACTTTCTCCAAGGATTTTAGATGGATGAACATTGTACTAAAAAGTCAAAGTGCCCGGAAATAGAAAACTAGATCTTATTTATCTCACATATAACAATAGTCAAAGCTCTTTGTAAGACAAACTAAAAGTAAAAGAAAGTGCAGCGTCCCGGGAAATTTTCAAAATTAGGGTGCTAAAAAGTTTTGAAGGTTAGGTTGGATTCTTCCATTCTGTGTTTTTAATTTGCTATGGGCCGAGAAAAAAAGTTTTAGAACGGATGCATATTTCTAAATTAAAAGGCTCAACATTGACTAAAACCTTCTGTGACCGGATGGAAGGTCACGAGTGACAGCTATGGAAGGACTGGAGGAAGTGTTTCTTTGTTAACATGTCAAAATCATTGGATCATGATAAAATGCGCTACACTTTCTACGTATTCCATCAGTTCTGACAAATTATTCATCATTTTATATCGCGTCTGTGTTGTGAGGATTCGAACGCTTAAGACTTGGTTACAAATCTCCTAATTAATTTATCTCTAAAGTTTTCATGTTATCGCGTCTGTGTTGTAAGGATTCGAACGCTAAAGACTTGGTTACGAATCTCCTAATTAATTCATCTCTAAATTTTTCATCGTTATCGCGTCTGTGTTGCAAGGAATCGAGCGCTAAAGACTTGGTTACAAATCTCCTAATTAATTTATCTCTCAATCAAGACATGAAACGAAGCTTTATAGATTGTGGCGATCGACCTTACCTACTTGATGTTACGGTTTTGAGTCAGAAAAACAAGAGAAACCAAAAGATCCCTTCTGGTCTTAGTCTGAAGTCTTAAAAGTATACAAACTGGGAGTTATGGACACTGAACATTCCTTCCTGTCAGACAGCAATTAAACATCATGTTCCTCTCGATTTTGATTGCGAACTAAAGCATTGGTTTTAATACCTTTGCACATAATTGGGGAACATTGCGGCTACATGATCTTAAATTGAAGATGACAGTTTTGTTTTCATGTCGACAGTCATATAATTTTGTTTAGGAGGAGATCATTCACTCGTATTGGAGCTAGCACAACGCTTTCTACCAAGTATGTGAATGAAAGCTGTCAGCTGGAACTATAAACTTCAATACTACTACCGTAGACCTAAGAAGTATGACCTAATGAAGGCGACAATCATAACCTACCCAACTTTGACAGGTACTATCCGTTCAAATGGGGCACAAAATGTGAAACATCTCTTGTGTGAAACACTCACTGGCCTATCACTTCGTGGATACAAAACTTCCTTCTTTCCTCGTTCTCAGGGAACTTCTCGTTTAGCAAAATAGAGGACCCTGGTAAAGAGTTTTAACTTCCGCTTTGCAGACTCGCCGTGACTGAGACGACAAAGCCAGACCGCAATGCATACATATGTTTTCGTCTATGTGTTGCTCATCAGTCAGCCGACCATTGAAAAGGTATATACTGATACAGGAATCGCCTTGTCCATATTTACAATTTCCGCTATCCAAGGGCAAGAAACAGAGAGGGAAAGTAATGCCATGAAGATCTCAGTGTATGCTGAGACGGGAGCTATTCATTATAAAATAAACAAATCACAAGCAAATAGTCTGAAATTAAATGATGCCATGCAGTATTATCAAATCCTTCTTAGGAATGAACGAAAACGAGTCAACCCCAGAGCAGCCGGAACTAAGAAAGACAAGAAGAAGTGTAAGATAAAACTCAACTCTTTATTCCAAGATTCAAACTATTATATTTACATAGTCATATAGTCAGAACTATAGATGTGTCATCGTCTCCGTGAGGAAAAGCTGCTTTCTGGCGTACCCAAAGGGTTAGTGCTGGGGCCTCTAATGTTTGTACTCGCATTGTCCTTTGCACCTTTAGAGGCGGTTGTCCATGGTTTAAGATGTATGACGGTTGTTTGCTGATGATAAACACTGAGCTGAACGTTTTTTATTGACCCTAAGAATGATCGTTCTGTACTGATTTGCCAAACTTCGGCGTGCATCATAGACATCCTCATCTGGTGTACGAACTAGACTTGCTTGCAACTCGCACAAACCAAAAGTTCTACATGTAACATCGTGGTTTGCAAAGAATCACCAACAAATTCTTGGACTTAATTTTAACAATGAGAAATACTGCGCCTTCACAAGCTGTTGGTGATCTGTGAGTCATTGCGAATTTGGTTATTTTGCTTTGAAGAACGCTGATTGGTAAGATCAGAAACTACATCAGTCAAACTGATTATCATCTATCCCTGTGAAGTAGGACTCAATGGGGTTAACCGGTTAGCGCCGTAAAACGGCGAAAAAGTTTAGCCGTCAAGCGTAAAAATAAATGACACATTTCAAGTCCACACAGCCGTACAAAATACAATAAAATTTGATGATGTTATGATAAAAATATTTTTAAGAAACACTAAAGTAACGCTCTTCTCACTGAAGTGCTAGAAGAAGGCCTCAGGATGACTTGTAGCCCTGACTTGTATTTCCTGGGCATATATAACCTCAGTCGCCATTTGAATTACGCTATTTGATCTTCTTTCGGTCTCAAAACATACACCAGTGTTGTTCGTTGCCTGGTAACAAAAAGTACATGACATAGAAAGGGATAGTGCTTACTTCCCAAGTTAGGAAAGACGATACTATGTGGAGTATCATAACAGGGATGCTTCTGGTTGTAATGCTTTTCTAACGCCCTTCTTGTTGTCATGTGTTCCGCGCATAATTGGCAATTTGTAAAGTAGATTTCTGCCATAGTTAGTGAGCACCGTTTTCGTGTCCAGCCATTCACGCTCTTGGAGCGGAAGAACCAACTTTCCGGCATGAGTTTCAAACGCGTATGTTTCAAACCGGAGATTCATTATATGAAAGCCACGACAAGGGATACGTGTATTCAAGCCGGCGGTAGATAATGAGATTTACCATTATTTCCAGGTCACTACCCAGATCTAAATAGTGATTCTCTTTCGCAGTCAAGTTTCCACAGCAATTTAGCGATCTCCGTCTCAAGTTATAACGTGTTCTTCAAAAAGAGCACAAAAGCAGCATTTTTCTCCAGTTAAGTTGACTTAATGAAATACCTGAATAAAGAGGAGTCACTTTCCGAGTTTTTAGCGACTTTGCGTTGCGTTCGACT